TTTTTTTTTTTTTTTTTTTTTTTTTTTTTTTTTTTTTTTTTTTTTACTATTATTGCTTTCTGGAAATGCTGTTGATTTTATAGGATTATTTTATAGTTTGCATCTTTACTGAAGCTATTGACTCAACGTTTTTTTTCCCCCCCGATTCCCCAGGACATTTTAAGCAAGTCGTCATGACATCAGAAAGTAGTACTTTGTCTGGGCTTTGATGCTATGGCTAACATTTCTAGAGCCACAGCCAACCTTTGCAATGTTTGGAGATATCTATCAAATCTCCTCTGAACCTTATGATGGGGTAACACAAGCACTCCTTCTAGATAGCTGGGAATATATTTGAACAGAAAGAAACATTTTGCACATAGCAAGGGAGAAGTCATTGAAATGGAAATTCTAGGACATAGATCACTGAAAGATTTTTTCCAAATTTAATAGGGGGATGGACAAAGACAGACTTTTAGAGCCTGAAAGTCCTAGCCTCTAAGGAACCTGAATGTTTGGGGGTTATTTTAGGTCTTCCAATATCCTGATGGGGAATAGTCATATGAACATAAAGGAATTTCAGTACTTCTAGCTAGCATTCCTGTGACTTCATAAAATTAATTCAACTAATACTGGAAATGGAGTCATTGTTGAGGCTGAGCTTACCTGGAAGAATGATTTCAGGGAAACCCATTTTTCGGGCTATAGCCGTGGTCCTGTCAACTAAGTGTGAGAAATCTTTCTGCACTTGTGTGAGGTCACCAGGGAGTAGCTTCAGGGAAACCCAAAGACCTAGAAAGAAAGGAGTGAACAAAATGAAGGCACCAAAAAGGGCTGCATTTGAAACAATGGTGTCTGGACAGGTAGAATGGGACAAAAGGTGAAGAGTATTGGGTTTGGAGTCAGAAGACCTGTGTTTGAGTTCCACCTCTGCTAATTCCTACCTGCATGACTTTGGACAAGTCACTGAATCTCCATGGACCTCAGTTCCTAATATGTCAAAGAAGAGGATTGGATTAAATAGTCTCTGAGGTCCTTTCCTGATCTAATGATATAAGCACTCAGTCTAAAGATAATAAATTTATCTAAATCATTCAAATCTCTGTCTTCCTGGAGGAAACAAACTACCTTCAGTCATCAGAATGATAATCTTATGAAATGACTGTATTGGTTTTTAGTATAAATTAAAAACTCTCACCAATGACTCATTTTTTCAAAAAGCTTTGTCCCACCCCCCAAAAGAAACAGTAATACAAATTGACAAAGACAAAGGATTCTTCATTTGCATACCTATGTGCTTTTGTTGCAAACTTCAAATCATTGAGTTTTACCTTTCTTTTGATTTTTTTATAACATGACTTCTTAAAATTTCAAGCCACCATATGTCCTTCTCACCCAGGGCCATGGTGAATAAATACTAAACTGGCACTGAAAAAGCTAGGCAGAGTTGTAATTTGCATTCTTTGTGCCTGGGGTAAGCATGGAAGCTTTCCCTAAAATAAACTTTTTTTTCTGGCTTATTTCTTAAAAATTATTTTCATTTATGTCATTAAATATTTCCCAGTTATATGTAATTTTTTTTGAAGAATCATTTTTTTTTAAATTGGAGTTCTGAATTATCACCCTTTGTGAGAAGGCAAATAATTTGTTATTGATTATACATGTGAAGTCACAAAACATATTTCCATACTAGTCACATTGCAAAAGAAAACACAAACAAAATAAAACAGTAAAATAAAGTAAAAAAAAAAAAAGTAACCTTCAACCTGTACTCAAAGTTCAACATTTCTCTCCCTGGAGGTGGATAGATTATTCAGCATGGATCCTTTGTAATTATCTTGTATAATAATCTTGATTAGAATGCCTAAGTCTTTCAGAGTTGATCATTGGAGCAATATTGCTGTTACTATGTACAATGATCTCCTGGTTCTGCTGACTTTGCTTTGCATGAGTTCATTTGTCTTCCCAGGCTTTTCTGACACCATCCTGTTCATTATTTTTTATAACACAATAGTATTCCATCACAATCATATATCACAACTTGTTCAACCATTCCCCAATTAATGGACATCCTTTTGATTTCTAATTCTTTGCCACCACAAAAAGTGCTACTATACATATTCTTGTACAAATAGGTCCTTTTCCTTTGATCTCTTTGGGATACAGATCTAGTAATGGTGTTGCTGGGTCAAAGGGTATGCACAATTTTATAGCCCTTTGGGTATAGTTCCAAATTGCTGTCCAGAAGGGTGGGTCACTTCACCAATAGTGCATGAGTGTCCTAATTTTTCCATATCTCCTCTAGCATATGTCATTTTCCTTTTCTGTCATGTTATCCAATCTGATGGATATGAGCTGATATCTCAGAATTGTTTTAATTTGCATTTCTCTAATCAGTAGTGATTTAAAACATTTTTTCATGTGACTGTTGATAGCTTTGATTTCTTCTTCTGAAAACTGCTTGTTCATATCCTTTGACCATTTATCAACTAGGGAATGGCTCTCATTTTAAAAAATAAATTTGGCTCAGCTTCATATGTATTTGAGAAATGAGGCCTTTATCAGAGAAATTTGCTGTAACATCCAGTTTCCCATTTTCCTTTTAATTTTGGCTGCATTAGTTTTGTTTGTGCAAAACCTTTTTAATTTCATGTAATAAAAATTATGTATTTTATTTCCGATAGTTCTCTCTATTTCTTGTTTGGTCACACCTCTTCCCTTATCCATAGGTCTGACAGGGCCTTTTCTCCACATTCTGCTAATTTACTTATGATATTATTCTTTATTTCTAAATCATTTATCCATTTTGACCTTATCTTGGTATATTTTGGGAGATGTTTGGTCTATGACTAGTTTCTGCCAAACTGCTTTCCTCTTTTTTTTTGCGTATGAGGCAAGTGGGGTTAAGTGACTTGCCCAGAGTCATACAGCTCGTAAATATTATGTGTCTGAGGTCACATATGAACTCAGATCCTCCTGACTCCAGGGCCAGTGCTCTACCCACTGTGCCACCTAGCTGCCCCTGCTTTCCTCTTTTCCCAGCTATTTTTGTCAAATAGTGAGTTCTTACACCAAAAGTTTGGATCTTTGGGTTTATTAAACACTAGATTACTGTGGTCATTTACTACTGTGTATTGTATACTTAAATCTATTCCACTGATCCACCACTCTATTTCTTAGCCAGTACCAGATTGTTTTGATGATTACTGCTTGGTAATATAGTAGAGCAGCTAGGTGGTACAGTGAATAGAACATCAAGACTGGAGTTGGGGAGACCTGAGTTCAAATCTGGCCTTAGACGCTTACTAGCTGTGTGACCTGGGCAAGCTACTTAACCCTGTTTGCCTCTGTTTTCTCATCTATAAAATGAGCTGGAGAAGGGAATGGCAAATTACTCCTATTTTTTTGTCAAGAAAACCCCAACTGTAGTCATGAAGAGTTGGACATGACTGAAAAATGACTGAACAACAGCAACAACATAGTTTGAAATCTGGGACTGCTAGGTTGCTTTCCTTAACATTTTTTTTCATTGATTCCCTTGATTATTTATTTATTTATTTGTTTATTATGACTAGGCAATGGGGTTATGTGACTTGCCCAGGGTCATACAGCTAGTTTAAGTGTTATATGTCTGAGGACTCATTCGAACTCAGATCCTCCTGAATCCAGGGCCGGTGCTCTATCCACCATGTCACCTAGTTGCCCAATTACTTTGATTCTTGACCCTTTGTTCTTCCAGATGAATTTTGTTGCTTTTTTTTTTTAGCTCTATAAAACAATTCGTTGGTAGTTTGATTGGCATTGCACTGAATAAGGACCTTAATTTAGGTAGGATTGTAATTTTTATTATATTTAGCTTGGTCTACTCATGAGTAATCAATCAGTTCTTTAGATCTGTCTTTATTTGTGTGAAAAGTGGTTTCTAATTGTGTTCAAATAATCCAGTCTTAGCAGGTATATTCCCAATTATTTTTCATTGCCTGCAATTATTTTAAATGGAATTTCTCTTATTCTATCCCTTCCTGTTGGGCTTTGTTGGTAGTATATAGAAACGCTGATAATTTTTGTGGATTTATTGTATATCCTGCAACTTTGCTGAAGTTGTTAATTGTTTCACCTAGTTTTTCAGTTGATTCTCTAGGGTTCTCTAAGTATGCCATCATGTTAAGTGCAAGGAGTAATAGTTTTGTTTCCTAATTATTTATTTTTATTCCTTCAATGGCTTTTTCTTGTCACATTGTTATAGACAGCATTTCTAATACAATATTGAATAATAACAGTGATAATGGACATCCTTGTTTCACCTCTGATTTTATTGGGAAGGCTTCAGGTTTATCTCCATTACAGATAATTCTTGTTTTTGGTTTTGGATGTATACTACTTATCATTTTAAGAAAGGCTCCATTGATTCCTGTGCTTTCTAGGGCTTAATAGGAATGGGTGTTGTATTTCTTCAAATGCTTTTTCTGCATCTATTGATAAAATCATTTGATTTTTGTTGTTATTGTTATTGATATTGTCAATTATGCTGATAGTTTTCCTAATATTCAACCAGTCCTGCATTCCTGGTATAAATCCCACCTGGTCATAGTGTATGATCTTTGTTATATACTGCTGGAATCTCCTTGCTAGTATTTAAAATTTTTGCATCAATATTTATTAAGGAAATTAATCTATAGTTTTCTTTCACTGTTTTTTGGTCTCCCCGGCTTAGGTATCAAAACTATATTTGTGTCATATAAGGAATTTGGCAGGATTCCTTCTTTATCTATTTTTTTTAATAGTTTGTATAGTATTGGGACTAATTGTTCCTTAAATACTTGATAGAATTTATTTATAAAGCCATCTGGTCCTGGGGATTTTTTTTTTCCTTAGGGAACTCATTGATAGCTTGTTCAATTTCCTTTTCTAAAATAGGGTTATTTAAGTATTCTATTATCCTCTTCTGTTCATCTGAGTTTTTTTAATTTTATAAATGTATAAATTTTAAATAATTTTGAAAGAAATATTCATCCATTTCACTTAGATCATCAGTTTTATTGGCATATAATTGAACAAAATAACTCCTAATTGCATAATTTCATCTTCATTGGTGGTGCATTCACCCTTTCATTTTTGATGCCAGTAATTTGGTTTTCTTTCTATTTAAATCAAATTAACCAGTGGTTTATCTATTTTATTGTTTTTTTGAAATAAAACCAGCTCCTACTTTTATTTATAATTTAATTCTTTTTAAACTTTCCATTTTATTAATCTCTCTTTTAACTTTTAGGATTTCCATTCTTGTGTTTAATTGGGGATTTTCATTTGATCTTTTTCTCGGTTTTTTTTTTGTTGTTGTTTTATGCCAATTTATTAATCTGCTCTTTCTCTGTTTTATTGATTTAAAAGTATGAATTTCCCTTAAATACTGCTTTGGCTGCATCTCACAAATTCTGGAATGTTGTCTCATTGTTGTTATTCTCTTTAATAAAATTATTCATTCTTCCTATGATTTGGTCCTTGATGCACACATTCTTTAGGATTAGATTAGTTTTTAATTTATGCTTCCACGGCCCTTTATTAAATGTAATTTTATTGTATTATGGCCTGAAAAAGGTTCATTTAATATTTCTGCTTTTCTTCATTTGGTTGTGAGGTTTTTATGACTTAATACATGATTAATTTTTGTGAAGGTGACATGTACAGCTGAGAAAAAGGTATAATCTTTTCTATTTCCATTCAGTTCTCTCCAGTCTGCCATATCTAATTTTTCTAAGGTTCTATTTATCTCCTTGGTGTCTCACTTATTTTATAGTTAGATTTATCTAGCTCTGAGAGGGGAAAGTTGAAATCCTCTGACAGGATGATTTTGCCATTTATTTCTTCTTGTAGTTCATTTAAATATTCCTTTAAGAATTTAGACACTATGCCATTTGATGCTATATGTTTAGAATTAATGTTATTTCATTGTGTATGGTTTTCTTTTAGCAAAATGCTGTTTCCTTGCTTATTCCTTTTAATTAGGTCTATTTTTGCTTTTGCTTTATCTGAGATCATGATTACTACTCAGCTGAAGCATAATAAATTCTGCTCTAGCTTCTTATTTTAACTCTGTGTGTCTCTCTATTTCAAGTATATTTCTTGTAAACAACACATTGTTTTATTCTGGTTTCTAATCCATTCTGCTATCTACTTCCATTTTATGGATGAGTTTATCCCATTCACATTTACAGTTATGATTACTAATTGTGCATTTCCCTCTACCCTATTTTATTTTGTTTATCCTTCTCCCTTTTTATTCTGTCTCTCTTCTAAAGTTGGTTTTGCTTCTTTTATCCACCCTCCCTTTTATCACTTCCCAGTCTTTTTCTTATCCTTTCCCCTTTCTACTACTCTGCTGGGTAAGACAGATTTCTACTGCAAACTAAGTATGTGTATACATTTTCCCTCTTCGAACCAGTTTAGATATGGATGAGGTTCAAGTGTTGCCTACATCCACCCCCATTTCCCACTCCACTATAAAATTTCTTCCTTATGTTCCTCTTTTATGTGAGATAATTTCCCTCATTCTTCTTCTTCCTTCCCCCTTTTCCCAGGGCACCACTCTTTCTTATCTACCCATTTTTTAAAATATCATTCCAATGAAACTACTTACTCCCACACTCACTTTCCATGTAAAATCCTTCTAACTCCCCAAATAATGACAAAGTTCTTAAGAGAAACATGTATCATCTTCCCATATAGAAAGGTAAACAGTTTAACCTTACTGAATTCTTTATGATTTCTTTTATGTTTAGCTTTTTATGTTTCTCTTGAGTTTTGTACTTGAAAATCAAATTTTTTTATTTAGCTCTGGTCTTTTCATCAGGAATGCTTAGGAGTCCTCTACTTCATTAAATATTCATTTTCTCCCTTGAAGGATTATATTCAGTTTTTCTGGGTAGGTTATTCTTGGTTATAATCCCAAATCTTTTGCCTTTTGCAATATCATATTCCAGGCCCTCTGCTCCTTTGATGTGGTAGCTGTTAAATCTTGTGTGATCCTTACTGTGGTTACATGGTATTTGAATGGTTTCTTTCTGGCTCTTGAAGTATTTTTTCTCTGACCTAGGAGCTCTGGAATTTGGCTATAATATTCCTGAGAGTTTTCATTTTGGGATCTCTTTCAGGTGGTGATTGGTGGATTCTCTCAG